GTTGAATAATTTATTTGTGGAATAATTTGCCCAGGGCAATATCCATTTGCCACAAGGGTGAGAAGAATCTGCATTTTTCCGCCTTTGGCACAATGCAGAGTGCACCGTTGGTTATTATTGGAATACGCAATACTTCCCCAGTCGCTTCTTAGTAGATAACAATTTTTATGAAGATGCTAATACAGATATGGTTATAACGCGATTTACATTTTTATAACGTATTTGTACTTTCTATTGAATTTGTCTATGAATTATTCCTTGTTGTTAATAAATTTCAACATTTCACCAGAAGTTACCGCATTCCATTATCTCAAATAGACGTGTGGTCCAATCTAACAAAACATGGAGAAGAGTCACTTACCAGTCTTTGATCTTGTTTTACGTCTTTACACAGTCCCTAAACAGTGCGAAAGTAGGTACTCGACGGGATGTACATTCTGACAAGACACGTTACATGTTATCAGTATTGTCAAGTATTACCGAACAACATGCAGAGACATTTAGTCCTTTGATCTCCTTCTCAACAAACAAGTCTTTAATACAAAAACCTTAAAGCAGAAAAGCTAGTGACACTAAGAAAATGTGACATACGTATTCTCAAAATTTACTAGGTGTTCATAAAATAGTAGCATACGAAAATCATGGCTACAACAAATCATTACTTAATGATAAATTTACAAAAATTAACTTATTTTTAAGGTGGCAATTTTTGAATTTTGTACTCGGAATTCAGAAGTGTCTAACCAACATACCTGATTGCGATACCTACAACAAATGTATTCGCAGTACAAAGTCAGGTAACGAAAATGGACCAGCATAAATCCGAAGATGTACACGCAGTTTTGCTCTTGATCAATAGCACTCAGTTGAGTCCAAAAAGAGACATCAATGGAGCAGATGGTAAAGGGGCGTTTAATTTTCAGGTGAACCCCAAACCATTCTATACGCCGGGACTCCAGCCCGCTACGTTTCTGGTGCAACCGAGCGCAAGTAACACACTCTGGGATGAGATGGGTTCGTTATTTTGATAGCCTCCTTGGTTACTCAGTGGTGTATCCATGACGGTGGGCAAGACTCACAGCACTGTGTTCATTTCATAGTATGAATCACTACTAGTAAGAGATATAGAAGCTGCAGCGTTGCGTCCTGACATGCACCGTTGGACGTAAACTTCATTGTAAGGCGTTGCGTTAGACAACGTGGTACATTGCACGGCGCTTTAGTGCGCTTTGCAAAGGCAGGGCCGCCACTCTTAGGCGTCACTTCAAGCATGTAATACAGCTAACCGTCTGTCAGTACTGGCAACGTGTCTTTATTTTGCCGCGTGTCGGTGTTTGTGGTCGTACGAACAAACTGAAAAAGATTTGGAGCTTCGATTACATGAAATGAGAAGTAGCCAAAATATTATGTTTAGTCCCACCAAGAGTATTACAGATTGTTATACAGCATCGATCGGTCATAGTAACCTTTTAAGAATTGGTATATTGTATTGAGCTTCAGGCCTGGACTATATTTCTTGCTGCTCCACATCCGCTTTCCTGGAACTAATTTCGATGAACCCTCAGTGAGGTTATGTTAAGTTAGGATGGAGTGGACGCTGGATACGTAGTATACGGGAATAAGGCTTTGTTTTCGTTTGAGTCTACAAGGATGTTGCGCTTCTCTAGTTTACTTGGATGATCTGAATGGTCGTGCAGTTGCAATGGAAACTCGCGGCTAAAGAAGTTCAAAGTTCTTGACCCAACTGGTAAGGAAGAGGCTCCATAATAGGCAACCTCAATTAAGATACCATGGCTCTGAACGAAGTACGCTTCAACGTTTTATTTGCCTCTCATAAATAACAAAAGACCTGCGTTAATTAACAACTTTTCTGGGATACACGAGCAATTAATATAACGAACTTTAATGATTTCTTTACGGAGGTTGTAAATAAATAAAATCTTCGTAAAAGGCCTCTCTTCTCTATTTTGTTGTTCCTATTACGATCCCTATTTCATTACGCCAACGCCATGATACTTCGAACGCGGTCGCTTGGCCAATTATAGTTTAATAAAGTTTACCGTTCGAAAGCGATGAATTTACATTTATAATGCATAGCCACTATAATCAGAGGAAGTTAACGTTCTAAGCAGCAAAAGAAATTCAACGAAAAAATTATTATAACAAGTTGTGGAATAAATTTTGTATTTTACATTACTTACGCAAAAAAAAATTGCTTCAGCAGCATTCTCATTGATTTGTACAGTTTCGAATTATTAATATTCTAATTTGGAGAGCCAATATCGTTCTTATATCACTTCTTTTAAATCGAGATCTTAACACCTTGAACTCCTTTTTTGTTGTTATTATTATTGGTACCCCATTGCGTGCTTTACTACATCCGCGTAGCTTCCAAAGTTTATTAATTTCATGGCACAATTCCTTAGGGGCTTCTTGTCATCAAAATTCAATCCATTTCAATTCCCCGTCTTCAATTATAAAAAACCTCTCTTCTCGACCCGATTAAATTCTCTTGAGAAAAACACAGATTTACGATTTAAATCTTCAACTGCCATTCATTACGAGAAGCCATTATTCGCCAAGGGGAAAATGAGTATGGTAAGAAAATAAATCAAGATTTATACCCCAAATCAATGCTTATCAATGTTGTTCATACAAAATAAAAAATATACATAATTGTTAAACAAATACAAAGTGATAATTATATATAAGCAATGTTATAATTGTATACTCAGAGATACGGTCCTCAGACATGTAGTTCCATTGCGCTACGAGTAAATAGTCTTGGTTCGCCGCTTCCCTGTACCGGCGGTTGCCTTTATTTGGCGCGATACTCAAATGAATTTCTTGACAAAACACCTGACGTACGTAACTAAATTATATTCCTCAGTAAGAAATTGTAAGTCTCAAAATTTTTTAATTTATTTGGCATATAGTCAATTTTCAAGCATTACACTATACAATAGGAAGATTAGAGAATTATCTAAATTGATAAACATAAATATTATTACATTATTATTTAACATTTTTTACGTGAGCACCGTTCATGTTGCTCTTTTAAAAAATATTTCTAATATAACAAAGACTGTCTGTGCGATATATTCATTTTGTTTAATGAACGATATATGCATAATTCAAGTATTACTCCCCATGGAGTTGAAATAGAAACGTCTGCATATGTACCTAACTCCCCATTATTTAAGCACAGTACTGTTTAAGTTGGAAGAATGTTTGTATGGTATTTGTTAGGCTGAATCATCAGAGATTCTCTCGCTAATTTGAACAATATGTAATGTTCCCTTATAATTAAATATATTACATATATACATATAATAAATAATCTTGTATGTATTGTAATCGATAATGATTCTAGTTAACTACCGGGAAGATCGGAAGTTACTTATTAAAACTTTTATGACACATCCTTCCCCGTGAACTTTCTAGAAAACCCGATCATACATTGATATACATAATTCGCATAGGTTCTCATTAGAGTGATTTAGGTCAGGTGTCACAAATGGAGTTGCGAAATATGTAAGGCAATCGAAAAATCAGGAATAAATTCATTTTACATTAGATGACTAAGCAAAGTAACTTTTCTTCATTTTTTCATAGCCTTTAATTAATTTATTAAGTAATCAATTAAATTATGTGTGAATTAAATGAATTGTTTGATACGATATTATTAAACAATGACAAACATTCGTATTGCTTTTAAATAATTGCATCTGACTCGCCTAATGCAGATCTCTCGTACAGACCCGAAATTTATTAAGATACAGTAATCTAACAAAATACACTCTCACGTGATATTATTCTTATAAAAAATTCTATTATTATATGACACTGCGTGATTGATTTTTTGTCTAATAATACGTTGAATATATCATAAATTCATTCGACTTATCTGTCTGATTGAATCTCAGTCGGTCTATTTCTCGGTCTGAGATTTTTATTGTTTAACTAGTCCGGGGCTATTAACTACCAAACATTCTTATAAATCGATGTAATATCTAATCAGATTATTAAATTAACCTTGATATACAAGGTGTCCCGAAAATGCCACCTAATGCTGGAGCATTATAACTTTATTCCTTCTTGGAAATTGAATTAAAGTCAGTGTAAATAATATCAGACTACAAGCATCATATTTCAGAACACCTTATACTGTATTATAAAGAAATTACAAAAAGAAAAGAATTACAACGAAATGAGAACACAAAAGTCGTACAAATATTATGTAAAAAATGATTACTACTGATATCTGTCAGTAATATAAGATAATAAATTTTATTCTAATGAAATCTAATGAAAAATAACATAAATTTACTAATAATGGATTGATTGGAATGAAAAAGCAACAATCGAAACACTTGGTATGGTTTAAAAAACATCCCAACAAACACGTAAGATTGAGCCAATCATGAGCCGTTACTGTCCCATTGTACCTATCAATGGACTAGTACAGTTAAGTACTGGATCGCCTTATGTGTTTGCTGGGATATGAAGTGGAGAAAAAAAAGATTCGCGTCGTCGATTAAAAATGTAAATTTCTATCGGATCTTACTCAGTAAATGCATGATACTCAAATAGTGAATATGAATGTAATAAAAAACTTTTCCTTTGAAGATTCTCACATATTCTATTATTACAGATAAAGCATAGATGTCATATAATTTACCATTAAAAGAGAATACTTTATGGATGTATAAAGAATATGGTCTGCACCAGATAATTTTCATATCATACTTTTCATGAAAGCTTTGTGAATTGATAAAAACTCTTCCACGGCTATTCTTTGTGTCCGTGGATTGTTTCTTCTATTCATTTAAATCAAGCAAGTACATTAGAGACAATACATATTTAAAAAATTTGAAGTCCCAGGCTCAGGCGTTGTATAAATATATGATAATATATGGAATAAGACAGGTAACGGTTAATAGAAAATTACTTTATTTTAGATTACTTGGTACATAAATCAAATTAATATTAAATTTATATTCCTACACGTCGAAAATAATTAAAGTCTTATTTACCGCTTGTTTAGTATATCGAACAATAAAAATATTACAACGGGATATTTAACTACGTTAACAATTTGTAAAGAGACAAGGTTGATTCTATCGATTAATACAGCAGGATACAGCAGCTCATTTTTTCAACTATCACAGTCAATTTAAAAAAAAATTAATCTTGTACTCAATTAGAATTTTAGTTACAATCACTACATCCGCCTACGAATTGTTACAATACAGCTGCTGCATCACAACTTAGTAAAGCAATTCGGTGAGACTCATAAAAAAATTAATAATATATTTTATAAATTAGCGACCTTGACAAAGATCATTTTGTAAAAGGAACTTAATTTACGCAAATCTCTGAATGATATAGGATGCTGAAACTCGAGCTGCAACCTTATTCAGTTTAAATTTAAAAGTATGATACATTGCAGCATAATAGAAAATAAATGAATCGAAACAATACAGTGCATGTATTATACTTAATATATAAACAACCAATATGATGAATACTATTACGTGGCCTCATATAAAATCATTGACTAAACGCTTCATTCGATGATTATAAAAAAAAATTAAGTCCTATCGCGCAAGTTATGCTGCTTATCTAACTTATAGTGATCATACTAGTAAATAATAAGTTCTAAATGAAATTAAAAATAAATATGTTAAATATAAATGTTCAGCTATCGCCACTTCCTGTTTCTTCATTACATTTGCATTTTTCTACATTATCTTTTTTATTCTCTTCACATAAAATAGTTGGTGAGAGTTGAACGTTGGTATCGCCACTTCCACATCCGCTATTGGATATAGGTAAGATTTTACGAACCCTTCTCTGCTTCGTCTTGAATTTTGTTTGATCTTGTTCCTGGATTCATAAATAAATGAATTTAGAACTTTCGTTAATTAGACTGTATCTAAAAGTAGTGCTAACAGATCTGCAGAGGTATTATCAAATGTGAAAAGAAATTAATCATTAATAAAAGCAATGACTTGCTGAAATTGTTCTAAAGTGAAGTTAAATAAAAAGAAAAAAAAACAAAGTACTAAAATGTCGTTTCAGCAAAGCCATAAATACCTCAGAAATCATTTCTATTCTTTCACGCACGTTATCGATATTTATTAGGTGATTTCTTCTATTTAATCGTTTCGCACTATCCATACCGATGCGGAATGGCCCAATACCAAAACCGAATGAGTAGCCAAATAGGCAAAATGGAATTAAGATTAAAAGGGCAGTAACGCCGACGAATAGTATTGGCGTTATTATAACATACATGGGCGTCGACAAATCCTCTGTTGAAAATTAAACAAACATTACTACTAAATTTGTGTATATAGAATTGTTTAAAATATGAATTAAGTTTTACTTGTGGCTCCACTAATAAATTTTCCAGCAACTTCGCCAGCTATGGATAATGGGTGTAGAAAGACTTTTGCTATCAAATGAGACAATGCAAGAAATGGCGTTATTTCTAGCATTGGATCTTTCATTATCGCCTCGTAGTATTTTTCACATTCATCAGTACCTGTAATAAAAGTAAAATGAATCGATGCTGGTAGTATATAGTGCACATGTTTCTTCATATTAGTAATTTTATAGATAAATGTTCATTCAAAGATTAAACAAACTTATTAAGAATAATATGAAATTCAATTATTTTATGCATGATAGTTAAATTTGGTTAAAACATACTCACTCCGAAAATGTGCAATAAAATGTTGGAAAAAATTCATTTTCTCTGGTTGACAATGAATAGGCATTTGAGCATATCTTACTTGCGATGCAGTAAGTTTAATTTCAGCTTCCTAAATAAAATTAAGATTAAGATGAATTTAGTATATTATATAAATTCATAATATAAAGAAATATCAAATACATTTTTCTCATACTTTAACTAGATGGCGCCAGGTCATATAGTAACTCGTGACAAACATAGTAATGATACAGAGAAATATAATTTTCCCTATAGACCATTGTATCCATCTAATAAATAATATTCCAAAGATTACTGCCAAAATTGAAAGACACAATTCCCTCTGAAAATTTACAACTGTGTAGTTTATTAACATGACAAATATGAGAATACATAGTTTGGTATAAATCTTTACATACATGTTCAATTACTATCTTTATGAATGATTCTGTAACTATGAAAGCATGCTTTAAGATATCAGCATCAGAATTCACAATTATTTCACTCAAAAGAGAATCAATTTGTCTGGTAGATCCTATTCCATTCCCAAAAAGTTTCAAAATCTCCATTTGCGAAGGTGTTGCACGTATGTGAACTTGACCAATTATCATGTCACTATCCTTCTAGATAATTGGAATTACTATTATTGCCTATCTAACAGTAATTAATTATTACAACTTATTATATCCAACGTCCTTACCTCAAAAGTAGCATGCGTCAGTAATAAGTTAATCAGCCGTCTAAAAAACACTTCATCTGAATCATTATTATCCTTTGAGTCTCTGCATCGTTTCAATTCAAATTCACAAGGTTCAGCTCCTGCTGCTATGGCATTTGATTCGAGCCTAAAACATACATATTGAGAATATAATTTTTCAATCAATGCTTAGCAAAAGTAATATGTGTACGTTTACCGATGTTCGGTGTTCATCTTTGGTTTTATCATTGTTTTAGTTTGTCTATCATAATAAAATGAATGAGGGTCTACCAGTTCATCGTTTTGCACTCTATAAACCAATGAATATTCTGTAAGTTCCCTTTACAATTGTAATAGTAAAATATATTAAAATTTTGTAAACTGGTGGTATGTGCATATAAACGATCAATGTATGCAGTAACTGAAATATATATCTTCAATATTTTTATATCAAGTAGCTTTCAGTATGCGTTTAAATAGTTTCAGTATTTTACTACAAAATTGTTCATTAAGATACATTTCACGTTTTATAATTGCCAGTTTAAAAATTTAGACCAAAGATGCCACAAATGATCAATTTTGTACTTGATATACATACACGAATGACTCCACTTCATCTGAATCAAATAATCCGACATTTTCGTCGCACAATACAGTTGTGCACATGTGGATTATAACGTAAAATAGTAAGCTAAAACCCTTTAGAAGATTCATTTTCATTGTCAAAGGTTACATTCGCAATATTCGTAACCACGGTTCTTTTGACGACGAACAAGTGCAAACAAGTATCCACTATGGGTGAGTTCCACTTAACGCTCGCAACGATCGCAACACCCTCTCTCTCGTTCCACTTAAGGCCGCGGTCGCTGTGAGCAGTCCCTGAACGTCATCGATGACGTCATCATTGGCGACCGCGGTGCGATCGCTTCGCCCACATCAAATAGGTGGGTCTTTGTGGTCGTTTGATGTTTTTGTGCGCCATTTTCAATTCAAATTTATGATGGAGACTGAAAAATAACGCTGTACGATTCCGAGAGGGACAAATAGATATATTTCGTTCCTTTAATCGTTAATCACTGTTTTATTTTCAAATGTTTAGTTTATTTCTACAGATATTAATTACCTAGATATTATTAATAGAGATTAATATTATCAGAGGATAATCTCAACTATTAGGGTGTAGTCAGTTTAAGTTTGTTATTTTAATTCTTAAACAATATTTTTTAGTTCTTTCCTTTTGTATATAAATACAGAACATTCTAAAAATCGAGTTTAGAATTTTTTATTTTTTTATCACCCTATTTCGTCTATAAACAAAACAATTCAGAGATGTATGAAACAGGTTGCAGACCAGAGATGAGTAAGGTTATAGAGATGGGCGATGTTTATTCGATGTTCTAAGAATCGATGTTTTTCTGCGTTGCATCGATTATGTCAGACCGATATGTTTTTAAGCGTCGTTTCTCGTCGAACTAAAATCGATTATTATGGAACATAATCGATGTTTACTAATCTGGCTTGACCTTAACGGCGCAGGCGCAGTTAGCTTTCTTTTCTGCTGGCAGAATTCTAATTCGAACTTGGTTTAGATCGTTCAAACTCTTACTTCTTAATTTAAAACTTATATATTATTATTAAGTGTTTAACTATTTTTGCTGTTTGGCCTTTGGCGTGTTACGGACAACGGAGTTGGAGGGGAGACTCAAGAGTGCAAGTATAGATTATGGAGAATTTATGAAAAATCGCAAATGTACGGTTTCAAAATCCATACGTTATTTACTTTCGGATAAACGATCAGGAATCATTTTCGCTGCGCAATCTAAGTTTAAGTAATTTTCTGCCATTGAGATGTAAGTATACGTATATTATTTTTATATTTCTTGTTTTATTTATGTAGATATTGCCTTCCTTCCTTCCTTTCCCTATGGCTGACTCCTCCAATGAGGAGATGTGCCAGATGTGGATATTGCATTACAGATGATAATGACTATACTGCAGAGTACATTCGTACTAGTAGAGAGCAGAGATGAGTAGGGAGATTGCCAATGAGCCTGTTTTTGGTGGTC